ATACCTTGGCTCTAGGATCTAAGGGCTTGGTTTGTTGTTTGCCGTTTTTTGGCACGTAGGGAACTTAGGAATTTGGTTCAGGGCTTGGGAGCAGTGCGTTAAGGATTGTTTGTCGGAGTTACTCGTCCTTTCATGCGCCACCGTCTCATCTGTGGGTAGCAGTATCAACGCAGATTGTTTTCGTCAGTCGCTTTTCCGGATGGGTTTCCGGACCTGGCGTTTCCTGCTGTTTCCCGGACTGTTGTAGGGCCAGTCCTTATCCCAGAAGCCTCTTGCGTTTGCCGCCATATGAGAAATTGTGCTAGCTTGGGGAGTGCAGAAGTTCGGGAACTCGGGCCCTTTCAGCACTATTGCCAGCGTCTCAAACCGAAGGGCCGCGCACATCCCGGAAGGTTGGCTTTTCTACTCAAGGCAAGTTGAGACAGCCTCCCAAACACTTCAGAGCCGCATGGGTTTCTGGCAATCCCTCGAAACATCCGCAAATTCTAGGTATTTCATCATTCCCGTGTGCTATTCTAAACCCCGAGCCCTTCAACCCTATAAGTTTCAGAATCTTTGCACCACAGCTAATCAGTCAGGTGGTAGCCAAAGCCAACTTGTCCCTGAGAAATCGCGAGTCGCGGACCCCTGTGGAGGCCCTGAAGATGGGATTGGGTATATTGGGACTGAATGGATACGGGTTTGGGATTTATACAGTTTGCATTATAGGTTTGGGGCTTCAGAGCTTGTTACTTGCTTGCCAGTTTAGTTTAGGTGGCAGCTCCGCTGGACTGATTGATATTCTTACGCACAATGCAGGCGCAATCAGCTGAAAACACGGTGCTTGCAGCCTCAGATATAAGCTAGAAATGCGTTGACCGAAATATTCAGCACACCCACGCCCTTTTTCTTCAAGTATCACAGAAGCATAGCGTTTCCGATAACAAATCATGTTGACGCTGTGTTCTAGTACAAGCGCGCGCACCTGCTTGTAACAAACCGTGGCCTTGGCATGTTAGCATTTCCAGCATCCCAACGGGATTCTGGTTTCGTTGGCGGCAAGGAAGAGCCGCAGGCTGAAGCTTGAGTCGCGCCGCCGCTTTCATCAGTACAGCGGCGGGGAGGATGTTCGTTGCCATTATCGGAACAGGCCTTCTCAGTGAGCAAAGTGGATGCAGCCATGATTCCCGCAGAAGAATTGCACATGTAGCACGGTAGCACGCGCGACGGGAGCTGAGCAGGGCAGAAGGAGAAGAAGCAAGCAGATGGGAAATGGGGATGTCTATGAAGTAGCATGGAGTACCTATGGCGAATCTATGCAGGGATCGCCAATTATACTAAGTCCTGTTCATGGCCGAAGGGCCGAAGCCTGCCGATAAAGGAAGTTCTGTATTTACCATATGTCTCATAGAATGCCACACTGAACCAAAGCAACAAATATGTTGCTTATTCCTGTGTGCCGTTAAGTTCGTTCCCTACGCTAAGCTAACATTAAATGGATACGAAAAGAATCATAGGGGTTCCTTCTAGCGGTAACGCCATTTTAGTTCCTCAACAACAACCCACTTATGCTCTTCACTGTTTGGGCTGGGGACGGCCATGCGCCTCTCCGTAGTGGCTTTTCTGGCGCTGAGCCATGCCGAACTACTCTGCTGGCGGAATTCAGTGCCTCACAGGACCTCTTTAAAAAGTGATATTTGGGATCTCCACTCTGAGTTTCAGTGTGATTTTGTGGTGGGTATGAGCAAGTGATGTTCTTGGCTCACTCTAACTCACGGGTACTGCACCTGTTTAGCAGGATGATCACTTGACTGCTGTTGATGAAAGATAACGTTATTCTTTTGCCATTTCTGCCCATAGTACTGCAGCCGTACCACCAGTGTGTCTCATTTGCATTGGCTCAGAATATTACCCCCTTCAGCAGGAGTCGCAGCGCGTGGTCCAATGCGCGCTGCTTGCTGCAGAGTTCTGTAGAGGCGAGTAGCTTGGGATTTCGTGCTGGCAATGCGCCAGACTAGTCAACGTGGGAGGTTTCGTAGTGGTCCTCCAAAAGGGAGTCAGTTTTTTGAGTCCAGAGTTTAGGAGCTAGAGCCCCTAAATCATCATGTTAGGTCTCAAGACATGGGCCCCTGCCCGCTTGCATAACCTAACCCAACATATCGTCCAATGTCGTCTGTTTCGCAAGGGGCCTACCAGGCCTGCCAAAGTTGACCTACCAAACACGGTCTCTCTGCAGGTGCCGCAGTGCTCCTGGCGCGTTGCCAGTCGGAGCGCGACACGCTGGGAAGCGAGAAACTCAGCACGCTCTGGGGGCTTAGCAGAAACGTAGGCTCCGAAAGTTGACGGGGTGTAGATTGAAGAGGGATATACATCTGTGACAGCTTGGAGAAAGAAGGCCTACAAGAAGTACACCCAGTGCCTGCATGTTAAGCGCAAATGAGATGCTCGTCCATTTGAGCCAAAGTCTAAACTCCTAGTATCCCCTCCCAATAACCCTATAATAGTCCAGTACATAACCGCATTTAAGGAGTTTTTTTCACCTAAGCCCTAACCCCTTACCCCTAAACCCCGCATAATCCCCTAAATATTACCTCATATATTTAAGGATTGTAGACTATGGCTCATTCAACAAGACATACAGTAAAAAGGTCGCAGCAACTTTGGACTCTCATTCTGATGCGCTTTGCGGAGTGGCCTGGTCCCCGCGCCCTGGCCGTCATCAGCCCTTGTCCTTTGGGTAGTAGAAACATTAGTAACCAGGACCCTTGTACTCTTAATTGGGGATATATGGTCACTAATAATAGGTACTTAGGCCCAAATAGAGGGTAGGAGGAAGGTCTAGGAATATACATGTTAATATTACTATTGAAATTGCTAGTATGACTGTTGCTATTACTTGTGTGGTTTAATTTTTGTTCTCATTATTGCTGTTAGTACTAGTATTTGTGTTATTACACAATTCGGGTGTATAGGGGTTATATGGGGATAATGGAAAAGAAAAGAAGGGTACTGTTTGTGGTTTAGGGTTTCCCAATACTAGGGGGTACCGTTTTTGGGTTCCCTATATTATTAAGGATTAGAGTATTCTGGGGTCTATATTGGGATCCCCTTGCATGCACTTAGACTCTGGGCCCGCCATTGGGCATCCCGGATCATATGGCACCCGGTGTTTGGGGTGCAAATCTTTTGGAAGAAGCTGCAAGGTCTTCACCTTCCGTTCGTAGATGTCTTCAAACGTTTTCCACATTGCAATGCCCAGACGCAGCTAGGCAACTTGCTGAGGAACCAGCAGCGCATACTGACCGCCAGCGCAGATGGCACCGTGGGCCTCTGGGAGGACAGCAAGAGAAAGGTAGGGAGGCTCCCAAGCAGTGGGGCATCCATGAGCTTGTTCCACGCGTGCTTCTTCTACACCTTCTTCGGTGTTTGGTAGCGGATTCTTCGCACATGCGCAAGACTTCGCACGACCTTGGGGCATCTGCATCATCTTAGTGTGCACGGTGCATGGGGTTGGAGTTTGATAGATTCGTGCCTCAAACTTGCCACTTCCTTCTGGCAGCTCCTCATTTGGAGACCCTGGCCTCTTTCTTTCGAGGCCAGAAATACTGGCAATCGTAAGTTATACCATACTGAGCCTTTGCCTGAAAAGGCTCCTATAACGACATTATGATGAGGCCAGCTCAGGTCTAGAGACCAGCCGTTTAGGCCTGAACCTCAAGCCTCAACCGCTCCTGGGATGTTTTGTGAAAGCGTGCGCGCGAAGAGTGAGGATAGGATTTCACAGTCCCCGGCGCAAAAGAACCGCATGCTTCACTTCCAGCATGCACCTGCAGGAGTTGAACATCAGCTACTCCCGGGTGCCAAATCACGAGCCAGAATCCTGGCAACTTGCGGCGCGAGCCCTACAGATTGCTGGCTTTTGTCGTTCGTTGCTGTGATGCAAGCCCCTCCAAGCAGGCAACTTTGTTTTTTGGTTGCTTAGGAAGTCCAACCAATGTTTAGGGGTCCACCTTTCAAGTACCACTTTGCCTGCGGAATTCACGTTTCTGCTTTTTATGAGGGACTACCACGGTCGCCATCGGTGTCAGTATCAGTCCAGTTGCTATGCATACATTATTATACCATAGTATAACATAGTAGCGTCCATTTTATTTTCCGTTATCCCTATATAACCCCAATATATACCCTAATATATAATAGAGTAGTTTCCATTTTCTGTTCCATTGAAGCCCGATAGAACCATACAAGCTTTTGCAAGGCAGTGCTGGGCTCCAATAGCCAGAGCCCTGTCCGAGATGCCCTGTGGTCGCCGGACAGCCGACTGATCCTGGCGGGTAGCTTAGACGGCTCTGCCCGAGTTTGGCAGCCCCTTGGCAAAGGGGTTCAAGGGTTTAGGTCTAGGATTCAAAGTTTTGTTAGGGTTTGGGGTGGGTAGCTTTGCATGCATAGCCTTGCACTGATTTAAGTTGCACCAGGAAGTCTTGGGGATTCGCAGTGACTGCTAGTGTTGAAGCTGCTTCAAGCTCGGGGCCCCCCCAACAGTTGGGCGGGGACAGACAATCGGAAATAGGAGTTTGCAAGAAGGCCCAAAGGTTTCTGGGCAGTGGGGACCGGCTTACATTATATGGCATCAGTCCAACATGAAAAATGCCTTCAAACATTGGCCTGAGCTCTTAGCGGACGGTTCCGAAACGCTTTGAAGAGAGCCACGATACTAAGAAAGGTCCAATGTTATGTAGGGTGTCGCGATTGAAGTTTGGAGTTTGGAGCTGTCATGCCTTCCCGCAAACGCGGATCTGGAGTCATGAGATGGAATAGAAGGAACATTTGGGATTGATTTCATGTTTGGGACATCGCTCGAAGTGCAAGCACTTGCACGCCTTCTTTTCCATGTCAAGGTTTTTTGTTTTTGTCGGAGCCGCGCGTGTCAATGTATTCCAGGCAGCTGTATCAATGGCATGGGAGCAACTAGCGTATGATGGACCCCGACGAGACCCTAACCAGTATCGAGACTAGTAGATATGGGTGAGGGCCGGTCGTGCGGACAAATGCCGATTTAGAAGAGAGTTGTGTGACTAGCTAATTCACGACCATCTGCATCCATGACCAATAGCTTGAAAACTTGAAACAGCACAAAGTCACCAAAGTTCTTCCAAGCCATAAGCCCCAAACCCCTTACTAAACCCCTTAACCCTATAACCCCATGAGAGACCCAGGCTCTCCGGTAATGCCAGCCGGATTCTCCGGGATGTGGACGATGAAGGGGAGGATGACGAGAACAGGTCGGCTCACAACTTCACCAGGCAGGGCCTATGGAGAGCGCTTCAAAGCCATGGGTCCCTGCATAATCCTTAGTATTGTTTGCATTATTGGCATTATTATTAGTATGGTTCTTAATAACATTAGCATTACTGCTATTGTTATTGTTACTAATAGTAGTTGTATTATTGCAAAAGTGTCCCTGACGACTTTTCACTAGTACTACAGTCCCTGAGAGTTCAGAGAGTAGCCAAGTCAATACAGAAGGGCTTTGGAATTGGTTGCTTTGCACAGGCACAGAATACCTGTGCAGAATATCAGGTGGTCACCTAGGGCATCATGATGCTGATGATTCGGGGGCTTTCACACAATTAAGGGTACCATTTTGGGGGTCCCAATAAGAAGGACTATAGTATTTAGTGGATCCCTTATTTTGGAATACCATTTGGCTTCGTATCTTCAATGACCTTATAAGATCAGCGGGTAAGGTCTGCTGGTCGTTGGAAGGTTTGACTTCCCAAACCCTATAAACCCTAAACGCATCTAAACCCCAAACCCTTTTTAGCCACCAGCATGTCAACGCTTGATTCCTCACCAGGTTCCAGCTGTGATTCGTCTTGGTAATCATGGAAATTAAAAGCTCACTTTTTGTTTTCCTACTACTCTATAATCCCTGTGTAATCCTTCATCAAGAGCCCCAAAATCCCCTTCAAATCCCAATAGTTTCGATATGATCCCCATCAATCCCTATAATCCCGATAGATCCCTATAACCCCTATTGATCCTTATAGACCCCCATACATCCCTATACTCCTTACAGATCCCTATAATCCCCCATAGATCCCTATAGATCCTTATAGATCCCCGTAAATCCCTATAGATCCCTATAGATCCATATAATCCCCATAGATCCTTATAGATCCATATAAATCCTTACAGATCCCTGTAGATCCCTATAAATCCCTATAGATCCCTGTAATCCCTTTAGATCCCTATGAATCCCTTAGATCCCTGTAGATCCCTAGATTCCCATAAAGACTTCTTGGCTGCAGGCTCAGACCTCCGGCTGTGCAGGGGCAGCTCTTAGCCGCCCGGATGAAGAGCAGAAAGGGTTTGGGATTCAGGGAGCTACCACGTATTAGTATTATGATGAATTAAAACTATTATGGCCATGGGTAGTATGAGCATGGTCATTATTATGATTGTTATTGCTATTTTGGTTATGGTTCTTAGTATCATTGCCAGTATTCTTATTGTTTTCTTTGCTGAATGAAGAGCAGTTATGATTGTTTTGTTTTCGTGTTAATGTTGCTCCTACTCTTGTGACTGTTATTGCTGCAATCATATCTTTATCAGTATCATAATCATTCTTGCTGTCATTGTTGCTATTGTTGAGGGTTTTCTAGTACCTGAATGAAGCTGCACCTACCAGCTCTCTTGCGATTCTGAGGAGCCTTGGTCCGTGCACTCCATGCTGATGCAGTCAGACACCGCTCTGGCATCCCGGACAGAAGACTCCTTTTGGGAGTGCAGGTTTCAAGGGCGCTCAAGTAGGACTGTCCTAGCCTTTGACGCTAACTCTCTAGTTTCGACTGAGTTTAAACAGTTGTGGCTTCAGCCTTTTCGAAATGGAGGTATGGCTATAGTTAGAAGATGTAAGAACGTTAGGACTGTGTCGTCAAGGCAGGGATCTCAAGTCTGAGTGCTTGCCTAAGGCAGTGGAATGGAGCTCCAGCAGTAGCCCCTTGGGACGCGTCCTGGCTGGATCGCCGCTCGTCCATTAGGCTGTCTTTGATTCCAACACAGTAGAATCTTTGTTTACTTTTCCGGGGACCAGTCTTACACATGGATTGCTGGTAAGCCAGGGATCATCGCATGGATTATGCTGATTCTGCAGATGGGAAGAGGAACGATACCAGAAACAAGAGCAGTAGCACCCGAACTGGTCGCATGATTGCCGTGATATGTCAGAAGAACCAAGAGGATCAGCCCCCGGGATCAGGGTATGCTGGTCTCGCTGAATAGGTATCCTGGGCAACGATTCAATCCAATGCCAGCTCCAGCATGCTGCAAAGAGCATCAGAGCATCCGAAGTACATGAATTGGAAAACAAATCCTTCTCGTTCATGTGTTCATCATTGTCCTGACATGTGTGGAGAATTTGGCTGCGCCTTGTTTTCTAAAGAGCACAGACCATAGAAGCCTTTTCAGCACTGAGGCAAGAGCGAGTGGCCTGCGTCAACAGGGGCAACATGAGCCGACAACCCAGTTTGCTCAATGGGGAAGGAATAGGTTTATTTACGAAGGATGGCAAGGCTGATGCCTCTCCGAAAGGAGCAGCAAGAATGACTGCATCAAGGTCATGAACCATGACCATATGGAGCGACCATAAGGGTTCTGCTGGGTTTCACATGTATTTCTACACAGTCTACATCTAGAATACGTATATGTATATATATACATACATGTATATATACATGCATATATACAAAGGTTTGAGTTGCCCGAACACAAATATATATTCTCATAAGATGAGTAAGAGGTGCAATATGCCGCGTTGAGGACTTAATCAAGCAGATGAGGGTAGGTTCAAAGTCCTGATACCTTGATACCACCATGGCAGTGACGCGTTTAAGCCAATACAGCGACCATCATAGTCACCAATCATGGTACGATTGTGCTGTTGTATCGATGATAGGGCTTTCTATCACGTGCTCTTTCAGATGTGGGCATATCGTTGTTTCTAGACGAGGTGGGATGTGAGGGATATGATGCGCAAAACTGCAACCACACTGCGCAGCCACGTGACATTGCGAATTGGACCGAGACTACTGGCTTCTACATGCAAGCTCAAGAACAGTCATACTCAATGCGTTTGGATCACTAGCAAGCCTCTTACATCACAATACCGCCTTCGCTCGCCATCGATCCAAGGCCGACCGCTGTAGGCTACCTGGGACCCATGGGGACTTGAAAAAAACACGCTCCAGGCATGTAGAGGACCATATCAATTCAAACTAAGAGTACCTTTTTGGGGGTCCCTATTATAAGGACTGTAGTATTTTGGAGTTTATATTGCCATAGTAATCCGCAATATTATGTTCCGCAGGTTGAGCGAGGCCCCAGTCTCTTCTCTTGGAGCCCAGGTTTCGAGCCCTGCGCGCCTAGCAGCCTCCGGGCAGATCGAAGCCTGGGTGCTTCCTACTTACTAGGCGCTCCTAGGGTTTACAGAGAGAGAGAGAGAGAGAGATACGTGTATATAAATATATATTAGAGATGGATACATGTATATACGTAGATATGTATATATGCATTTGTATATATATGTATATACATATAAAAGGGTTCCTATTAGATGGAGATATATCGGGTAGAGTTTTTGCGGATGTTTTAGGGGCTATATTGATCACTTCATGCACTGCCAGCAAGTGAAGCGGGTTTCGAGTTGAGCAATCATGCTAGTTTAGCAGTAATTAATGTGCAAAGGGGCTTCTGCAAGGAGCAGTGGTGTGTGTGGATTCAAGCGGTGAGGATCTAGGCGCAGCCAAAGGAGGGCTTGAGGGGGATTCCGCAATAGTTCCATAGGAACTGACAAGGTTAGAAGGCGGGTGAGGATTTGCATGGCCCCTCAACCTTAAGCAGTAAACCTTTTCATACCCTGTTTGACCCTTATTACACCCTGTTTGGGACCCCGAAACCTCAAACCCCAAACACTCGTTAAAGTGTGTTTGGGACTCCTGAGCCTTCAAACCTGAACCCATATTAAGCCCTGTTTGCGATGGCTTGTGGGCTTTTTGGTAGTGTGAAAGGGACGGGCTGGTAGGGATTGACAGGGCTGTATGGTTGTAATGGGCCCTAGACCTTATATGTACCCTAAATCCTGCAAACCCTACCCTTCGTAATGGAATGGCGGAGTGATTGGTCATGGCCCTACACCATCCTAAACCCTAATCCCTATAAACCCACTAGCTTCCATTTTTTCCATTATACCCAGTATCACCCCAATATTAACAAACCCTAAACCCTACATAACACCATTTAGTAGTTTCCACTTTCTTTTCCATTATACCCAATATTACCCCAATATTAACAAACCCTAAACCCTAAGACCCTCTGGACTTAAGGGTTCATGGTGAAGAGTCCAGGGCCTATAAGGCTGCAGATCTCGGATGTGAGGGCTTCAGAGGTAGGCCTGTGGACGGTTCCACAAGCATGCTCAGTCATATAGGGTTTGGGTTTTGGGTTTAGGGTAATATAGGGGTAATTTGGTGGTAATATAGGGGTAATGTAGGGGTAGCATAGGGGGAATATAGGGGGTTATCTAGGGGATTAAGCTAATGTAGACCGATGATTAATAAACCCCCTCACCCAAAATAGGGTTTATAATAAAGAACAAAATATTAAGACCATTAAAGGGAAGGGGTTTATCAATTAGGGGTCTACATTGCCTGCCACCCTAGGATTGCGGTATCTACCTTCATACTTTAATCTGCGCCCTGGATATGTCAATATGACTCCGAGCCTACTGCTCCCAATTCTAAATCCAAAACCCTGTCCTCTCCACAGCCCACCTTTCTCATCATCATCGGGTCTGGGCTTTTTATTGACTCCAACCTGAACCCCAAAAGTAGACAGAATCATGGCCAAACCCCCTCATTGTTGTTAGACTAGAATGTGAACTTCTCATAAACACGGGCTTGTTCCCTGTCTGCGCAGGTTTGGACCACTCGGCTTCAATTTGGCACGCCAGTGCTGTGACGGGCTCAGCAAGCACTGCAAGTCTGCTCTTCAGCCTGACGACAATAGATATATGGTAGTTTCCCAAAATGAGGGGACCCCAATATAGACCCTAATATACTATAGTCCTTATTATAGGGATCCCCAAAAAGGTACCCCTAATTTTGGGAAAACCCCATATCAACCCCTCCTGACATGCAGAGTGCCCAATGGCATGACCAGCAAGAGCACTGCGGAACCCTCTACAAGATTGCCGCCATTCCGGCACTTGCTTCAATCCTGACTACCACAGTTCTTCACGTGTCATGCCTTCCGTGGATGCTAGGCTCTGTCGGGCCATCAAGTTGCTTGAGACGAACGTGCGCCCGACAAAAACAACTGCCCCAACCGGCAAAATCCACGAAATTCAGGCATGTTGAATGACCTCACGTTTCTGCAGACAGCCATTTTGGGGTCTCCACATGCAAGGCAGCCTCAGATTCAAGCTTGCTGGGTTGCTCCTTTGTTAGATTTTGTTTGTGTGGATTGCTAAGGAAATGCCAAAGCGGTGGGCTTTGGAAGCCACCCTGGAGGTGGGCTCACTTCTGGCTATAGACCCTTGAGAGCAAGACGCGGTGTTTTGTTTGGATTTCTCAGCTTTGCGCCTTGAGATAGCTGGCAAGCCTGAGTTTGTTTTCCTCTGTGTGGTGTTCCAGTCAGCATGCTTCCTTAGCTTTTTGCCTCAGGGAAGTTCCTTCCAGGTGCCATGGTGAGGATGCATTTTACTTTGCCTTCAATATCTTTCTTTGAGAATTTTCGTCTCGTGGTGCAGCACTTAACCCAGGTGTGCATATCTCAGCTTCTCGCTGCCGCTGCTGCTTCTCCTTCTGCTCATGCTGCTGCCACGGCCGTTCCTGCTCCTGCCATATTGTAAGCTATACGACCAACTCTACCATAGAGCCCGTGTTGCTTTGATGGCGCCTGAATCTTAGCACGGAGAGTGTTGCAACCCTCTTGACTTGTTCCATGGCGCAGGGAGTGTCGCACCTCATGGTCTCAGTCCGGTGGTCGCCAGATGGCCACGAGCTGTTGCCAGGAGCTCAGCAGGGCTTTCAGCCCCCGGCTTTCGGTTTTGGAGGTGGAGCTGTGAAGTGAATGGTGCATGGTTATGTGTGTGGCTTTTTTAGGATGCTTGGTTCGCGTTCTGCGCAGATTAAGATGTGAGGGCTGTTGTTTTTCACTTTGTGCCATAATAACCTTGGAGCATGGTAGATGTCTCTTACTACGACTTCCAATGTGCTACACAGACTCAAGGCTATGCAACTAACCTCATTGAATCTAAAGCAGGGCATCTGTACATGCAGCAGAAGATGACGACAATCCCAACTACGACTGCTGGTCACAGTGCTATTTTCATCATTACTTTTGGGCTTCCTCTTGTTTTTCTTGGTCGTCCTCCTCATCGTCGTCGTGGTCGTCGTCGCCGCCGCCGGCGGCAGTGGTGGTCGTGGTGGTGGTCGTGGTCGTGGTCGTGGTGGTGGTGGCGGTGATGGCGGTGGTGGTGGTGGCGGCGGCGGCGGCGGCGGGGGTGGTGGTGGTGATGGACGAACGCCACCACCACCGCCGCCGCCGAGCCCCCCACTTCCACTACTACTTTGCAGTCTGCTGTTACTACGAGTCCGTCTTGTTCCTCTGCTGTTTTGGCTATGATCTCTGAAATCTTGAGGACGGGTGGTAGTGACGGCATCGCCCGCATCTGGGTCCTGACTGACCTGGATTTCCAGGGGAGT